AGTATGTGATTTAATATTTTCATAGACAGTTAAAGGGTAGATACCAGAAATATAGTGTAATAAGAGATTATAGTGAGAGTTATGAGAGTTAAGTGTAAAACGGAGAAGAATATTGAGAATAGTAATTGGGGATGTATTTGTGATTTTCAGAGAAGCAAGTGAGTTAGTAATTATATTTGTTAGAGATTGTTGAAAATTAAAGTTATTATTGGAATACAGAAGTATGTGTAATGTGTCTTCCAGATTGGAACAACGAGTACAGTTTGGTGTAGTATATAGGTAAGAGTATCGGATGTTTAGATTTTCTATAGTAGGAAGACTATTAGTTAAAATTTTAATTCTTAGAGGGTATTTAAATGGATTATTGTTCAGAGAATTTAGAATATTAAAACATAGAGTCCAATGGATGTTAGATATGTTATTAAAAACTTTAAGTGAAGACCAAGAATATAATTCTTGTATTGTATAAATATTTTTATAAAGGTTCAGATTTTAAAAGAAATTAGATAGTTTTCCTATTGAAAATGAATTGGTAAATCTATATGATTGTAGAAAATTTTAAATATAGGTTTGTTTGTTTCATGTTTGGCATGTAGATCTGCTTGATTATGTAGTGAGTTTGAGTGTGATTTAACTTTGTGAAGGGTAAAAGTGAGATTTTTAATAGATTTAATTTGGTTAATAGTAAGTAAAATATCCCAGTTTTGGTTTTGTAAGGGTTTGGTAGAGTACTTTTGTTTTAAGTTTTTAATTGCTGTCTTATTGTCTAGGTAATATGTATATAAGTATTATTGGAAATTGCGAAAAGAAGAGAGATAATTGCTTCTAGTTCAGCATGTGTTGTGTCTGGATAGAGAATAGTAGCTGCATTAAATTTAATAGACAAATTGTTTTCGCAAATCCAGCCAATACCAGATTTAATATTTGGTGATTGTAGATTTTGAATTGAGGCATCAGTATGAAAATGGAGCTCTTGTGAATCGAGGTTTTGAATAAGAGAATAAAGTTGAGAAAGTTGATTTTGATATATGGTTAAATTAGCTATATCATATATTAATTGTATATCCTGTGTGGGAATATTAATTTGTGGTATTAATTGGGAAGAATTTGTAGTGTTTATAAAATCAAATATGTCATTTAATGCAAGAATTTC